ACTACTACTACGACGACGACGACGGACTACTATTAGTACTGATTCTTCCAGAGGCCCTTCGTTGACACATTTCAATAATTTCGGGCAGTTCCGGCCGGGGTTATGGTGTAGAGTTTGCAGTTTAGCATTCAGGATTTAACAAACTTGGGGTTAGAAACATGGGTGGTCCTTCAATATGGGGCCTTGAGACTTGGAATTATGGCAGTCGGGTGTATGTAGAGGGGCCGTCAGGGGATGCTATTGCTATTGGTTCTGACCTCCATACTTCATTTGGTCCCTTTCAAGTCCAAGTCATATGATTCGGAAACCCTACACCCTAACACCTAAACCTTAAACCCTGCACCCTAAACCCTACACCCTAACCCCTCAACCCTAAACCTTCAAATCCGAAATACCAAAACTCCTAAACCCTAACCCCTAAACCTTAGGGCGGCTTCCAAAAGTTCGAAGACTCGAGGCTTGTCATCTTGGCGAACATCTTGTACTGGGTGGCTGTGGTTCATCACACGCGCTTGGAGCCGCACAAAGGGGTTTAGGGTTAAGGGTTTAGGGTTTGGGGGGGTCTGATGGGGAGAGTGTGCCACTCTTCTGGTTCTTTGCTGTTTCTTCACTGTTGCTGCCCTTCACCATTTTCTTTTCCCCAGTGTTGTCGTGTAACCCTAAAGCCCTAAACCCCTAAACCCTAAACCCAGTCCCACATTCGACGCCATCCTTAGTTGATAGCCCTGAGATGGGAGGGCGGCGGAGCAATCCTGTCTTTATCAGAGTGCGCAGCGCAGCGCCTCAGCCTCTGCAAGCCTGTTAGGGTATAGGGGCCTAGATAATTACCATAAGTACTATATTTTGGGGTTCCTGACGAGACGAAAAGGAGCCCAAAATCCCAGTCTAATCGTTAAGGTAGGGCCCCTCGATTCCGGCCTTATGAACCCGAAACAGCCAAGTTGAACCTGGAGCAAGCCCGAAGCCCGGCAGATGCGGGCCCCTGCCGGAAGTCCGAATACAGGGGCTTTAGCAACGGAGTACTTTATAGTATACAGTATACTAGAATCCTAAACCCTAAACTCCATACTGCAAAGAAAACCCTATACCCAAGACCTACTAAGTACTACTATACTTCAAAAGATTCCCTATACTTCAGACCTACTATACCTCAAAAACAAAACCTAGACCCAGACCTGCTCGATTTTGATCAAGGCTCATCATTTTCACCACAGGCCCTGAGTGAATCCTTTGACCTTCGGCCTTCGACCCCCACCTCAAACCCCGAAGCCGAAGGACTAAGCTTCAAGGGTTTATAGGGTGTAGGGGTTTCGGGGTTTAGGGGTTTAGGGGTTTAGGGGTTTCGGGGTTTCGGGGTTTAGGGGTTTAGGGGTTTAGGGCTTAGGGTTTAGCCCCACACACAAACACACAGAGACAGCCCTCAATAAGCAATAAGCAATACAGCTCCATCAGACCCAGACCTTCAAGTTTCAGGTGCTTGAAGGAAAGCACTATCGACCACCTATATATATCCTAGGTATTACTAGGGAGACCCCTGAAAGCGGACCCTTCTTCACCCTACTTCTGGCTCTGCTTCAAAGGGACCTTTAGTGAGAGGGTCTCTAAAACCCGGGGCCCCCTTCATCCCAACTCCTACTATCCTTACAACCCGATACCCTGAACCCTGAGATCCAACCTGGAAACCCCAAATCTCCCAAATCCCAAATCTCCCAAACCCCAAATCTCCCAAACCCTAAACCCTAAACCCTAAACTCTAAATCCTAAATCCTAAATCCTAAACCCCGAACCCTCAACCCTAAACCCGCAAGGAACTTCTCTCCGTCCTGCGACATCTTCCAGAGTTTGTCCCTTGGATCCGAACGGTTTTCCAGAGGTGTTGTAAGGGTGTTTAAGGGTTTAGAGTTTAGGGTTTAGGGTTTAGAGTTTGGGGGGGGTGTTTAAGGGGCGTCGATAAGGGTTGCATCGGGGTCCGTTAAGGGTTGTTAGGGCTATAGTTTATAGATGATTTAAGGGGGTTGAAGAGCTGTTCGCGTTGATACGGGTTGCTTTGAGGGTTCCTGTGATATAGTAAGGGTTTCGACGAGGGTTCAGGTTTAACAGTTTGGGGTTTGGGCTGAAGCCCCAAAACGGCCCAAAGTCAGGTTCTGCTTATAGGTGTTGGACCCAAAGTTGAAAGTACGTGTCTACTTCGTGGAGCTTTAGGGGAGTACTTCCGGAAGAGTGAGAAGGGAAGAAGAATGACAGTACCAAACAGGCGTGCGAATCGGATACTGCTACGGAAGCGAATGCCAGTGCCTCGCCGCAACAGAAATGCCAGAAACAGTCACAGCACTGATCGTGATACCACGGTTGATGATATAAATCCTGCATTACCCATAGTTCCCATCATTTTCAGGTCCTTAAGGTAGTGCAGGATTTATATCAACAACAGTAGACCTAGCTGCCTTTCAACACACAGCCAAGAGCCCTTCACTCTAAACCCTAAACCCTAAACCCTGAACCCTAAACCGTCACTCTAGACCCCTTCCAGGACCCTGGAGATTGTCCTGTTGCTGGTGACCGTGGTGGCTGTGAGGCCAGAGCTGGAACCCTAAGCCCTAAACTTCGCTTCGCTGCGTAGAGGTCCGGCTAAGCCCCCTAAACCCTAAACCCTGGACCCTAAACCCCAAACCCTAAACCCTAAGCCCCGAACCCTAAACCCTGAACCCTAAATCCTAAACCCTGAACCCTAAGCCCCTACACCCGAAGCCCTGAACCCTAAACCCGTAGTGGGCTTAGGGAGACCTCGGCTTGCAGAGCCATTGCAGGGCTCGGAAAAAATGTGGGGTAACAGTTGGTCTTTTCAAATCGCTCTATTAGGGTTGAGGGTTTAGGATTTAGGGTTTAGGGTTCAGGATTTGGGGTTTACCTTTTTCAGGGTTTAGGTTTGTTACTACAGTTGTAGTACAGTATACCCCAAGATCCTATGACGTCCCCCCACTAGGCGCCCTATCCCCAGGGCCTTCGAACCACGAGGGGTTGAAGGTTTTCTTTACGGGGAGCCTCTGTCAGAGGTTTAAGGTTTGAAGGTTTAGAAGCCCTAAGCCCTGAAAGCCTAAACCCCAAAACCTAAATCCCTAAAACCCTAAAACCTAAAACCCTTAAAACCCCTTTATGGGTTTAGGGTTTAGGGTTTACGGGTTCAGGTTTCGGGCTTCATACGCTTACAGCACGGAGCCTCGCTTGCATCGATAGAAGTCGACCACTTGCTTGCTTGAGTCTGCAGCCCCTACATATCTACAGACCCCTAAACATGACCCCTAATCCCTAAAGCCTAAACCCTGAAACACTACACCCTAAAAGCTTCAATCCCTCTAAACCCCAAGCCCGACGCCGTTGAACCCCTAAACCCCGATACCCCTAGACCCTGAACCGGATTTCCAGGATGTGCGGACTTCTTCTATCAATCGGTTTTTGTTTGGCCATTGGGATGAATGACCTCCTTCGCGTACACGTTCACTCCCCTAGGGTTCCCGCTTCAGTGCTTTGGGTTTAGGGTTTAGAGTTTAGGGTTCAGGGTTTAGGGTTTTGGGTTTAGGGTGTAGGGTTTAGGGTTTAGGGTGTGTAGAGTTTTGGATTTCGAGCTTCATGCTACAATTGCTGAAAGTACAATGTCAACCTCCCCCCCAAACCCGAGGGTGGGCTGCTTGTTCCGTGCTAGAGGGCATATGTTTTGGGGGTGTAGGGGTTTGTGTCTGTATCCCTTTTTTTGTTTCGGATTTAGAGTTTAAAGGATTATATACACTGATTTCATAGGGGGCTTGCAGGGACATGCTTTGGGCACAGAAGGCTGGGGTGGGTGGGTGGCACCGTGGAGGCTTCAGCAATACAGCTGGACCTGCACAACCTTGGATTTGCTCCTTGGCGATTCAAGAAAAGGGTTCCTAAAACACAAGGAGAGGGGGTTTAAACACCCAGAGGAGCTTTTAAACCCTAAACCCTAAACCCTAAACCCTAAACCCTAAACCCCTAAACCCCTAAACCCCTAAACCCCTAAACCCGAAACCTTAAACCCTAAACCCCACTTTTTAACAACCTTCTTCTACAAGCGGGAATGCTCAAGATTCGGAGTGTTATCTAGGTGACGCTCATGCCGCACCCAGGACTCCAAGCACCAGGGCCATAAAGGAACCTTTGATGGACTTCGTAAAGTCGTAATATAGGGGCCTTGATAATTAGCATAGGGTTTTGGCGGTACATTGAAGTTATAGCTATAATGAGGAAAACCCCCCAAAACCCCACTGTAATGATTAAGGCTCCCTTTTTGGCCTACTGCCCTGCCAAAAAATTCGGCCTCACAGACATCTCAAGCCCGTATCCACCCAGAGACTCCAAAGCCCCTTAAGAATTAAGGAATATACCTCACATTATAATAGGAGCCCACATAAGCTTTAAGGTTTATTCCATAATTAAGGGGTTTTGGAGTCTCTGGGCACAAGAAGCCATAACAGCCCCAACGCCTACAACCTTGAACGCCTTACTTCCCCTCCCCCCACGACCAACAAATCGAGGCTCGGGTGTTTAGAGAGTTCAGGATTTCAGGCACAAGGCTTTAGGGTTTAGGGTATGGGGTTTAGGCTTCAGGGTCTAGGGTTTAGGGTTTAGGGTTTAGGGTTGATAGACTTGAGTGCCCTAAACCCCTAGACCCCAAACCCGAAACTAAACCTTAAACCGATTTAGGGCGTAAGGCATGAGGCTTTGCCGCCCTGTGGGCGGCTCAGTCTCTTTAGACTCCCCCAGGCGGCAAGGGGTCACCGAAAGCGACGGTTCAGGGTTTAGGGGTTTAGGGTAGAGGGGTTCGGGTTTAAGTTTTCGGTTTGGGGTCTAGAGGTGAGGGGTTTAGGGTTTAGGGGGTTTAGGGTTTATGGGTTTAGGGTTTATGGGGTTTAGGATCTAGGGGTTTATGGTTTTAGGGAAGCTTCGCTCCGCCTAGCCCTGACTTTGACTTCACCTCACATGAAGCGAATTTAAGACATTCTATCAATATAGGTGCTTTATGGTATAAGGGTTTAGGGTTTAGGGCGTTAAGAATTTTCGAAACTGTTTCGGTGGTTCCTCAATATAATTATGGTATAATATACCCCCAAACCTTGTTGGACATGATCAAGGCCTCTACATTAAATGAGGTTTCTTCGGAAGACTAGTAGGAATGTCTCCGCGTGTAGCACACAGTCGGGCAAATGAAGCAGCTACCTCTGCCAAGTTTCCCTCTGAGAGCCTGAGCCCACAAGAGTCTGAGGTGATGAAAGAGTTCCCTCAAACCCTAAACCCTAAAAACCCTAAGCCCTAAACCCTAAACCCGTAGACCCTAAAACCTTAGACCCTAAAACCCAAACCCGTTGAGGGTTTAGGGCAATGTAGGGTTTACAATTTTGGGATTCAGGGTTTGGGCACCATTATGTCGGTTCTTATAAGCAGGGTTGTAATGGGTGTCAGCTTTCGGGTGCAGTAAGTGGGCAGTTCTCCACGTTAGGGTCCCTTTTGGGATCCTTTCTTCTAAGGGTGTGGGGGCCCTAATTTAATATTTGGAGAGCTACCCTTATAATGCCAGCTACCCTTATAATGCCCTTATCGAAAACTTGGAAACCCTTATGGATCCCTTTCAGGAACACTGAACAGGGACCCTGGTGCAGAGAACTACCCATGTAGGGCTGAAGCTCAGGAAGAGCGCTCGAGTCGACTTGGATGCATCCTCGACTCTGCTCCTCGACTCATCCTCCTGCTTGGGGGAATCTAGATTCTAAACCCTAAACCCTAAGGTTTAGGGCTTAGGGTTCGGGGCTGCTTAAGGGTTGAATGTAGGGGCGCCTGAGCTTTTTAGAGTAGGGTTCCCTTTTAAGGGCTTATAGGGTTCCATCAAAGTTGAGGGTTGGGGCCTGCATGTTTCGAACAGGTAGTGGGGGGTATATCATTGACGATTATTTCAGGAGCCCTAAGAGATACTACGGTAGGGGCTTTTCATGATGATCTATACTGATTTGTGGGCTCCTTACGATAATCATAGTATAATATACCCCAACA